GGTCACTTTCATACTATCAAAGGTTAGTTTTAAGCTTTCTTAGACCTGGTCCATTTCAGGCTTTTCCTTTATCCAAGAGCATGATTTACTCCTAAGGCATCATTCTCATTCACATGCCATAGATTTTCTCATATCTCAACTGAAAGCAGAGTGCTTTGGTAAGAATCACTTACTTTAGTAGGATTTGACCTCTCCTGCCTTATTCCCGAAACTGCGCAGCTACTGAAATGACTGCTCAATTGTTTAGCATTTTAGCAACTATTTTCTGCAAGTTTTTTTTTTTTTGGTGGGGGGAAGCTCTCTCTCCTGTGCATGTATAGCTTAGGAGGCAACCAATGACTGCAGGGGAATTTGTACACAGATTTTTAGATTCACTTCTCTGAGATTTCTTCATGTCTGAAATTTTGCCCTTTGAGCTCCAGTTGGTTTGATTATTTTGAACTAGTAAGGTTAACACTTTCGACTTGGCCTCAGTTGCCCTGCATTGTGAAACTGGAAAATGCCCTAAAGGAAAAAGCCACATGAATGTGGAGCTCATGTACTGTGTTTTTCTTCCCTTAGGATTATAGCTTTTCAAGTCCTGCTTGTGTTGTTTGCTCTTCAAAGTGTTCTATTGTTTCCTATATTTTGTCCAACTTTATTGTTGTAAATTTTCAGTGGGAAGGTTGTCCCAAACAAGGTTTTCTCTCAATGCCAGAACTGGAAATTTCTCATCATTTTGTTTTATATCTCCGACTATTTATCTAAGATTTTATTTCTTCTTGAGATACATCCTTTAGGATTTCCTTTAAAGCAGATCTTTTGGTAATAGATTTTCAGTTTTTGTTGGTATGAAAATAACACTTTAAAGACTCTTTTCTAGAGGATAGAGCCAGGGCATGACTCGGAATGAGAAAGGAGGGAGGGCAGCATTTGAACAGCTTCCAGTTTTAGACTATTATGAATAGTGCTGCTTTGCACATTCTACGTGTCCTTTGGTGACATGTGTATGCATTTCTATTGGGTATATACCTAAGTGTGCTATTACTGAAGAGTCCTTTTTTTATTTCAAAATGATTTCTATAACATTACAAAATACAAAGTGTCTAAAGAAAAGAATTATTGGGATTCACCCTCACCACTTCCTGAGGTTGCCGAATATCTCCTTAGTTTTGCCTTTTAGATAAACATAAGCATACAAAAGTGGGATCGCCAATTTTCCTCTGAAAATATTCATTGTGAGCAGTCTTCAAAGTATGACTTAAGCTCATCCTTTTAAGAACTATTATATTATGCACTATGAATTTTTAATAAATTGTTTATTCCTCAGTTGCTGAGTATTTATAGAATTCAGTATCTCAAAAGTTATTTCAGTGTTCTCATGGCAGTCTCTATTCCTCAAAGCAGAAGGTGGAAGGAAAAATAGAAACTCTAGGGGTAGTAGAAATAAGGAAAGATACAGGATTTAAAATTTAGCTAGTTATGTGGAGTCTAAAACAGAGAAAGAAAGGATAGAACCAGTTGAAATTTGGGGAAATAGAGAAAAAAAAAGGCTTAAGAGGACAATGTAAAAGAAAAGAGCATGAAGAAGAAAAAACAACAGGAAATGTATAATTTAACTGGTTTTCGACATCAAGCTGCTACTTATTTTGTTGAGGAATGATCCTAGGATTGCCTTCCTTACCTTATATTCATCGATCTTGTCCGTCCATTCATCACGTGGACATTATGAAGCTCCTGTTTATGGCCACATTAAGTAGAGAATCTAAAGAAGAATAAATAAAACAGTTCTTGACTTATGCTCACTGTAGTTTGGTGAGTTGTAATGAAACCCTGAAGTTATACAAGTGTGGTAGTCCATACCCTTTACCACTGAATTCACACTCCCATGGAAGGTCCAGCCTGGACACTGTTTTGTGGTAGGGGAGAAAGCTTTTTAATGGTCTCCTCCTAAGGATAGTTTGGTCTGGGGGCACCTTCTCCCTAGGTACCCATAGAATAGGGGTCAGGGTGGTGATGGGTGAGGGTAAGAAAACAGGAGAATGTAGAATCCACATCTCTCAGGCCTTGGGAACCAACCATAAAAAGGAAATTTTTTCTCCAGGTTCTAAAGTTGAGCTCACGAAGCTAGATGAGTAGTCACAGGTTAAAGGCAGGATCTCAAAGCCAGGTCAGGCATAAAGCCAGGTCCTTGCTTAGAAGTCAAGTGCTGGAGCCCACTCTTACATGACTAAGTGAGTCAGAACTAGAAATAAAGTTCAAGAAACCCCCCCAAATAAGGAGAAAACATATTTACAAAGAGCCATTACCAGCTGTATGAGCAATGATAGTTTATCCATTTTTTAGTTGATTAAATGTATCACAAAAAATACATGTGACTATTGAAACATTGAGGTACCTGAATAAAAAATATTTAAAAGTAATCTACTCTTTCCTGAAGTAACTGATTCTAAGAGTTTGATGTTTGTTTTCCATATAATTTTTGTGTTACATAAGTATACTAAAATATTTTTAAAGTTTCTATACAAAAACGAGAATTCCAGATTCTGCTACCATGTTAAATGTTTGTTAAAAATACGAATATAAATACAGCCTAACTCCTGGCAAATATATAGATTTAGCTCATCCTTGTAAATGTTTGTGGTTTTTTTTTTTGTATAAAGATCTATCCTTTTTTATCAACCCACCCCCTTGTTGGTAAATAATCTAACGGATTTATTTTTTAACCAATTGCCCTGCCGCAGGCCCATTGCTGGTACCGGGGTCTCCATCCCGGGTCTGGGGCCGCATCTTCGCTCAGAAACGGACACAGAGCAGGGCCTCTGAGGTCCGGGGTCCGCCGGCCAGGCCCCGCCCGCCGCGCCGCGGCCGCCCACCACCTCCCGGGACTGCGCCCTCCTCCGCCCGCTCTGCGGAACAGCCCACCTCCCTACTGCCCCCACCCATCTTTAAATCACCGAGCAGTCTGTCACATACCCCCCGCCCCCCGCGCTTGTCCCGTCTCTGCAGAGGAGCCCCGTCCCCCTCCGAAGTAGCCTGGTGCGAAAATTGCTGGACGAGTCAATCTTGTCCAAAGACGGTTTCTGGAACCGGAGCGGCCCGGCGCGCCGACCAAGTTCGCGGCAGCCTGGAGGGAGAGGGCGGGACCGGGCCGGGGCTCCGGGAGAGGGCGGGGAACCAGGCACCTCCCGAGCTGCCCAAGTGATCTGTTTGGGGTCTGAGACCGGTAGGCCTAGGGAGGAAAATGTCTTTGAGAAAGGACTGCCTGCGGTTTCTCCAAGTCTGTTTCTGATTCTGCATTTTTCCACCATCCTGGCTCGTGCAGCAATTTTTTTTTTCCTCCAGGAATTCTTGCCCTTTTAAAACATATTTTTTCATAATAAAATATTTCAAGGCTACAGATATATACAGAGAGTAATATAACAGGCTTATATGGTGACATTTTATCACCTTTGCTTACTGCTCTTTCACTGTTTCTCTCGCCCCCTTTCCAAGAAAACCTGACAGTTAAAACCTTTTCCCCCACCAGCCTCATGTCAGAACCCGGAGAGGAGGGGCAATGCGGCAGGAGTGGCGTTGTTGGGTTGTATCCTTCCCGTGTATATTTCTATCATTTCACTATTTATATGTAAGCAATACCTGTGCTTTTGTTTTGAATGTCAAAATTTTTCATGAAACTCAGTATTTGGGGGCTTTACTTTGCAATGCTATTAGTCTTGGCATTTCAGATGGGAAAGGAACTTTGCAAGCAAGTCACCAGCCCTCTTTGTTCACCTGAGAACCCTGAACCCTGGAGAATATTAAAGACCTGCTCACTGTCACTCGGGTGGTCCTTGACTGAATTCAGATTCTCTTGATTTCTGTTCCTAGTGTTTCCTCTATGTAAATCCAGCCACTGAACTCACCTACCTGTACCCCCTATTAATGATTGTTTATATTATTCGATTTGGACCAAAACGCTAGTCAAGATTAAAAGGTCTGCCATTTTCCTAAAACATGAAGTACTGAATCATAAAACAACCTGAATATTTCATTTAACAAGTACTCATAGTCTTACTGTGTAGCAGACATTGATCAAACAACTTTGCAAATATTCACTCATCTAATTTATGCCTTACCATAAATCTGTAATACAGGTACTAATTTTATCATCCCCATTTTACAGGTAATAAATCTGAAGTGCACAGAAATTAAGTTGCCCGTAGCCACTCAGCCAATAAAGTGTATCACTGAGATCTGCATCCAGGACACCTAGTAACACTCTGGGTTCCCTACCACGATACCACCCTCCATTTCACATGCTAGCACTGGCACCTGAGCGGGTGAAGTCACCCCAGAGTAGAATACCAGCAATTCATAGAAGAGAGGAGCAGCTGCACATGGCTATCAGAAAGGACTTCAGTAAAGAAAGAGGATTTGAAATGAGCACAAAAGAATAAATTTTAGCTACCGAATGTTTGTTTGAAATATAATACTTTTTATTTATTTACAAAAGTAACAC